AAAAGATGTTGTGGAACCGATAGAAGAGAGCCAAGATGAGAGCCCGGACGTTGTTACTGCAACGAAGGAAACGACAAGTGAGGCGAGAAGGACACAGGGTGTGACGGTCTCTGGAGGCAGTGCTAAGGCGAGCGGTGGCGGATGGTCTCCGCCGAGGGGCCGCTGCTACAACTGCGGAATAATCGGACACGTCGCGCGGGAATGCAGACGCCCTAAGCAGCGGGGACACGTTGCTTTAGTGATGTTCGAGGACCAGAGGGCCGAGGGAGTGCGGAATGAACCCGTGCTGAATGGGGAGAAGAAAGTTCACCCATTCATGTGTCAAGGAACCGTAAGGATGGGGGACGCAGACCCCATCCCCGTGAAGATCTTAAGAGACACTGGGGCCGATTTTACCCTAGTGAGTGAGACCCTGTTCCCCGAGGGTTACGAAAGTACCAGTGTGGGGGTGGCAAGTGTGACCACTGTGGGAGGCCCAGTGAGGATGCCCCTACACCAGGTAACTTTAAATTCCGACTATGGCTGCCAGACCCTAGTTGTGGGAGTCTGTACATCAATGCCCAAGATGGAGGCGCAGGTCATCTTGGGGAATGACGCGTGTGGAGGATATGTCCTTCCGAATCTTGTGAAAGGCGAAGAATGCCTAGAACAATACAAGGAGACAGGCGGAGAGTGGAACGCCTGTGGGGGCGAGAAGGGAATCGCACCGGTGGCGTTCCCAGTTTGTGCTGTGGTACCAAGACGACGCGAAGAACAAGGAGGTTGTAGATCTGATGGGGCTGAGGAAACAACTGACAGCCTGGGAATAGATCGCCTCTTTGTAGAACCCGAAGAACGAGCGGAGGGCGAAGATAGCCCAAATGGTGAGTTGCAGGTGACCCTTACCAGTTCTCTAGGGGTAGACCGCACTCGTCTTGGACAGTTGCAACAGGAGGAGTTCCCCGATTTGATTAGTGAGGCCCAAGGAGGACGTGTTGGCCCTGAGAAGGCTACTCAGTTTTACCTTCAGGACGGCATGCTGATGAGGCAGTGGAGACCTGTAAGGGTGGAGGCCGGGGAAGAGTCTCTAAGCACGAGGCACCATGTAGTGTTGCCGGCCCAGTGCAGAGCGGCCGTGTTGGACCTAGCGCACTCCGTGGACTCTGCAGGCCACCTGGGAGTGACTAAGACGCTGTGAAGGATCAGGGATTTCTTTTACTGGCCAGGTATGGACGCCGAGGTGAGGCGCTATTGTAAGACGTGCTTACCATGCCAGAGGGCAGGGAAGAGCCAGTCAGCGATACCGAAGGCCCCATTGATCCCTGTTCCAGCGTTTGGGCCTGCTTTCGAGCGTCTGCTAGTTGATGGAGTGGGTCCTTTGCCAAGGACGAAGAAAGGGAACACCTACCTGATGACAATAATGTGTACATCCACCAGGTTTCCGGAAGCCGTCCCGATGCGACGTTTAACATCGCAAGGAGTAGCCAGCCAACTGCAGCGATTTTTCTCGTGGGTGGGGATGCCCAAAGAGATCCAGACAGACTGCGCAAGCATATTTCAGTCGAAGTGGTTCCGACAGACGATGGCAGGATGGGGAGTGACTCAGATTCGATCGTCGCCCTACCGACCGCAGTCGCAGGGGGCGATCGAAAGATTCCACTCCACATTGAAGACTGTGCTGAGAGTGTTCTGCGCAGAACAGAGGGCTGAGTGGGATGAGGCTATATACCCCGCGTTATTTGCCATACGCAACGCGGTGGTAGAATCACTAGGATTCTCACCATTCCAGCTAGTGTATGGACACGAGGTGAGAAGTCCCCTGTCCATGCTGAGGGAACAATGGACACCGGCAGCGACCGTGGGAACGGTGAACGAATATGTCCAGAAGTTTAAAGATCGTCTCACTCTAGCGAAGGAACTGGCTGGGAAGCACCTGAAGGAGGCACAGCGTAAGATGTCGGAGTGGTACGACAAGAGAGCTACACAGAGGGATTTCCAGGTCGGGTCCCAAGTAATGGTCTTGCTTCCAGGTAAAGGTAGGGTGACCGAGTCACGGTTCGAGGGACCATACCAAGTGCTGCGACGGTTGGGTCCGGTGTCGTACGAAATTGAGAAGTCGGACAGATCCCGAAAGAAACAGGTGTGTCACGCAGACCGCCTGAGACCTTTCTTCACTGTGGAAGGAAGAGCCGACAAGCAGGACGGAACGATGTCCCGAGAAACCCAGCGGAAGACGGGTCTGAGTGTGCCGAGGGACCGAGAACTCCCGGAGGAGGAAAGTAAGTGGTCCAGGGCGGACGGCACCAGTCTCACCAGCACTGAGAGTCTAACAAGGATCAAGGTCAAGCACATTAAGGGGAAGGACAACGTAGTAGAGGATGCCCTATCCCGCATCCACTAACCAGACATGACTCTTATTTTAAGGGGAGGGGTATGTGACGGAGTTCCCCCCTTATAATTCTCCCATGCCTGCAGTAAGAGTCATGTCTACTTTTCCCAAGCGTTCTCTACGTTGCAGGCTACAATTTGATATATGGGAGAGAGTGAAGTGTTCTCGGAGAGCCGAGAAATTTGTGAAATAGTAATATTTTGGCCTGTGGTTTAGGCCCTTTAGGGAGCCAAGATGGCGCTTGCCTCCCTGATCTCCCGCCAAAACCGTGTGACGTCAGTGGCGCCGGATTGGTCACCGACAGCAATGTGGCACCGGGAGCCAATGAAAACCTCCCGTGGCAAAAGTGACGTCACGAAGGAAGGGGGTCCGGCCCGCGAGCCGGGCTGGCGCCAGCAGTCAGACACGACACGTCATAGAGGTCGGACGTGCGATGGTTGGTCCTGTCAGTTGGACAGTGTTTCCCGCTCCCGTGGTTTTACGCGTCACCTGAAGTCCGCCAGTACTCTGAGAAGTCTTCCCTAGTTCATGTGTTGAACCAGAAGAGGGAATTGACGGTTATTTGAGCAACAAGTGCTCCAGTCAGGTGCTGTGCAAGAAGCAGTGAAGCCGTGCAGTGACGTATGTTGACGTCTGTGGCAATTCACCAGTTCGTGACAGCGTAGTGGCTGACAGAGCCACTGGGTAGCTGAGGAAGAGAGGACTATTTGGGGAAACCGGACGACTGTAGCTGAGACGTAGGCGACAGCCGTTGCTGGGAGAAGACGACGGCCAGGAGACCGACTCCAACCTTCAAGAAGTCAAGAAGGAGGACGGACCTGCAGTGAGGAGGCACGGAGACGACGCGCTAAACGGTGAGACGACGAGAGGCTCTGGTAGGACACGACGACGTGTTGTGTGGGGGCGTTCCCGACACGAGGACCAGGAGCTACATCTCGACTCTCATCGGAGGATAGGGTGAAGTAGGTGTTTCAAGTTCCCTCCCCATTCCCCTTTAGTTAGCTATATTATTCGGCTATATTATCTAGCCTGAGGATTTTATATGTCGTGAGCAAGTCTCACCCATGTCACGGTAAAGCACCAGTGTGCTAGACAGTACTATCAAGAGTACTTGTAATATTCATGTTGATTATTGGTGTGTACAGGCACCAGGAACAAGTGATAAATTTACTGTGTTGTGTATATCTTTCTATAGTTTTTGATATGAACATATAGTGGTAAATTATATATAATATTATGCCAGTATTTGAAAGTTAGGCTGTGTGCCCAGAAATCATTTATTTTCCATGTATTGATATTTGATGTATCTACATTATATATGCTATGTTTATGCTGTGATGAATCATTTGTGAGTACAGTGAATTATTGCGTTATCGCCCATGAGAGAAAGTACTGAAAACTCCAGTGTTAATATATCATAATATATTGTTGGATGAATAAGTGTAAGACCATTACAGTGAGTCATTATAGCTGTGATTGTAGAAAAGACTGTTTGAGCCTGAGTACAGTGTAACCAAGTGATACGTGCTATTGTAGCCAATATCGAGTGTGCGAGTTTCTAGTAACATTGGAGAATTTAAAGAAACAGCGCGCGCGAATCTAGAAAACAAGCAAAGCTTTCGCGCGGGAGCCAGGCAATCAGCTGTTCTTGACACTTGATGAGGAGGGGAGTGTTGCCACCTAGTGATCGCATACTATTCGTGGGAATTTCCGGCGGCGTCAGGATCAGTTGATTTATTGATTTATTTGTTGTTGTTTGGCCTTTGTGACATCTTTCATACATTTTAAGTAAAATACAAAACTATCTTTGTGTTTATATCATCCCCTCCATTGATCTTGTGGCTACATTATACTGAAAGCATTGAGTGATAACAATAAGTACCTGCCTGATTCCTATTCTTTTGAGTGTGACCTTGCCAAGGCTACCACAAATTCCACCAGTCCACTGATGGTGTTACTGGCCACCTAAAACACCAGTTGGCGACCTTGTGGTTTACCGTAGAGCCCGATTGTTGGGGAGGGCACACGACAGTCAAGTGAACGAGTCGTGTTCTCACTCTTTCTTAATAAGAGGCCGTTAAGATCGACTGGGAGACTCTCCTGGCGTGCAGTGGCGCCGTGAGGATCGAGTGAAGACTCGCAGGTCTACGGTGAGTGACTTTGAGCATAACTATTGCTCACCCCAGGGTAAGGGTAGAGAGGTGAAACCCCAACAATACTCTTATTCCCAGCCTAATCTAATCTAGCCATGACCAGTCCCATGTCTTTATAAAATTAAATATTTGAAACCTGATATAAAAGTCTAGAGCAGAAAAGAATAAACTGGATACATCCAGATTTATTTAGTTTATATTAATTAGAAAATGGTTAGAAGAGAGACTCAGTAAATTATATTAAATAAATTAAAACTCGTAAGATTAAGATTAATCTTCATTACAATATGTCTTTTAAACAACAAAAATCTCCTGGTGATCAAATGCCAACCGCTTATAAATTTTGATAGAAATATTCAAATGGACCACAATCAAAATGGGACGATCGACTGAGCACTTTCGACTATTTACATAACCATTGTCAGAGTCAGATAAACCTTTAATTAAAAACAAGGTGTGAAGGAGAGTATGTTATGTACCTTCTTGATGATACAGTAGACTTCGTGGCTGTCAAGCTGGAGGACGCTGGAATTGGCCAGCTCATTGAGATGCTCCATGCTCAGCACGTTCTGGTACACTTCGTAGGTCAGTGACGACCACTCGCTCGCCGTGTACTTCACCCTGCACCAGGAGCACCATAGGTGTCAGTTCTCTACTCCAGACACAATAGGGGCAAACTGTTTATAACTTACTCTACACTATAGACAATATGGGACAAGTGCTCAGACGAGGGATCACAATAACGTGGCTGAAGATGTGATGGCCAACCTTCAACCTTTCTTCATCTTAAGAGTTGTGGGTTGGTCATCGTGGGACAAATGTTATTGATGTTACTTTATTCGGGGTTGTAATTGTGTACAATATTGCACGAATATGCTTCCACTTCACCAAGCAAAACGTGAGCAAGGCTTCCAAGATTGAGCGAGCACTCTACTAGATAATGGAATTGGACTGTGGGGAGATCCTTACTAGTCAGTTTCGCCTGAGTCTCGAATCATGTTGGTCATGAAATCCCCCAAAACTAGGGAATGCAATGTAAGGCCCCTCCCTATGGGAGGAGGCTCCTCCTCTTCTACATCAATTGTTCATATTAAGAAGGGCTTAAATAGTATGGAGCATAGAGCAGGTCATTACGGACACTACTTCAAGTAAGTTAGCATGGCAATGTTCAGAGATGGATCAATGTAAACACCAAACCTACAAAACTTTGCGTTTATTCAAAGAACTTAATCGCAAATACATTGAGAGCAACTTTACTCTACTGATTAGTGTTACCCACAGCTAAGATTGCATCAGAGAGACTCTTGGATTGTCGACACCCATCGACAATCCTGTCTTAACACTTGTTAACACCCAATCACAAGACTCGGGTTATCCTAACACTACCTGATGCAAGGATACTAATGCGAGTTCCGTAGGATACTTTGGGGCAACTTAATGGCACACACGAAAATTATGCAAAAATTACATGCACATATAAGCTGACATGTGTAGTGTGTGTTTCAACATGCACACGCACCCTTCACGGTTGCGTGGCGTGATATTACAAAGAGTACCACTGGAACACCGTCAATAATTAACACTTGACCTCGACCTGTTTCAGGTGCTAAATGAGGCGAGCGGGAATTTGTGAATTAGATTATAGTACTTACATTAAAGGTACCGACTTTCATTGCCCATTCACACCACATACACACTAAGCTAACAGGTTACGATGATTCCTCGAGTTGACATGTATACTTGGCTGGCAATTTGGTACGGGTTTGAGAGTTGAGCCATCGTGGCTTGCGGACGTGTCTGGTGGAATTCCTGGATGTTGGTTTTGATTCTGCTTAGGGTCTTGTGTTCTGCCATGTTCTAAAAGTCGACGGTCGTAAGTCAGGGCCACAGTGCGAGGATGGTCTTTCCACGGTACTTCGACGGTGTACTACTGTTGAATTAAGGCTTACCTGCCATCATGATTATGCCTTCGACTCTGTGGCTCTCTGAAATTTGCTTCAAGCACAGATTATGGATGGTACAGGTTTGCAGATGTTGTCAAGTGGAATTGAATTTGTGAAGTTTACAGATCCCAAGGTGGTTGCTTGTGTGAATTTGGGGGTGGGGAGCTTTTCCTGGCAAGGGGTGCCGAGACAGTGCAAGTACTGGATTACAGCTAGCATGTGAGTTTCGTGTTGGTTCGAGATGTGCCACTTGAAATGATCGACGACACGATTTCTGGTGTGATTGGGCAGTTCGACAAAGTGCTTCGGGTGCACCTGAACCGTTTTATTTATCTTAATTTCAAGGTCTTGTGAGTGGAATGAGAACTGTGAATGTTATTTTATCAGATGAACCTTTCAATGTTTATGTGCAAGGTTTCCAGCTTCGTTAAACGTACAATACTAATGTCCCTCATTTATGGCAAAGAGGCGTTTGAGTCTCATATCATTGTTGATTTGCCTTGAACATTTGCTTAATTTACAGCAATGTCGTGGATGCTATATTCACATGATGTATGGACACTGTTTTCTGTTTTATTATTTACTATGTTTATATTTACTATGCTCTCGCCCCAACACTCTTCAGCATGGTATTCTCGGCCATGCTCACTGATTCGTTCCGTGATTGCCAGGATGGAATACCCATCAGATACAGGACTGACGGTGGGTTGTTCAACCTCCGGCGTCTACAGGCCGTCACCAAGGGGGCGGAAACTGTCACGTGAGACTTCCTGTTCGCTGATGACTGCGCCCTCAACGCCAGCACATTGCAAATGATGGAACACGAAATGGACTGCTTCTCACAAATCAGCGACAACTTCGGTCTCATCACCAGCACCAAAAAGACTGAAGTCGTGTACTAACCCGCGCCTGGAGAACCCTGTCTGAACCCACACATTACTGTCAAGGGGCAGAACCTGCAGGCAGTCGACAGCTTCACCAGTCTTGGCACCATACTCTCAAAAGCTGTGAACATAGACGCAGAAGTCAACAACAGGATCGCCAAGGTCTGTTGTTCTTTGGAAGATTCCGCGAGAATGTCTGGGAGCAAAGGGGCCTCAGCCTCTCCACCAAACTGAAGGTCTACCGAGCAGTTGTTCTCACCGCCCTTCTCTATACCAGCGAGGCCTGGAATGTCTACAGCAGACACACCAAACAGCTAAATCACTTTCACTTGAGCTGTTTCCGCAGATGCCTCCGCATCAGGTGGCTGGACAAGGGGCCGGTATTTCCAGCGTCTACACCCTCCTACAGGAATCTCAGGCCAGATGGGCATGCCACGTTGTCAGAATGCCTGACAGCCGATTGTCCAAACAGCTGCTGCATGGAGAATTATGCCAGGGCTTGCGTTCTACTGGGGTCAGAAGAAACGATTCAAGGATTGCCTCAAGGTGACTCTCAAAGACCTGGGGCCAGATTCATGAAAGCACTTACGCAAGCACTTACGAACGTGTACATCTTTCCTCAATCTTTGACGGCTTTCGTTACATTTATTAAACAGTTTACAAGCATGAAAACTTCCCATTCGACTGTTGTAATTGTTATAAACAGCCTCCTGGTGATTCGGAGCTCATTAACTGTTTAATAATTGGAAACAAAGCCGCCAAAGATTGAGAAAAGATGTACAGGTGCGTAAGTGTTTGCGTAAGTGCTTTCGTGAATCTGACCCCTGGACATCAACACCAATACTTGGGAATCACTTGCTCAGGACCATCCACCTCTGCAGTTTGTTACGGTTTCCTGTCCAATATTTCCCTTATTCCAGCAGTAAAAGTCGTATCACCCTAATGACTAATCTGTACATACTCTGATGCCCAGGAAAAATATGGTACATTTAAAGGATAGCCTGAGTTGTCGGTTGGTGATAAATTACGAATTTTATTTTGGTTCTGAATGTGGTTTAGGCCTTTCTACCGGTACAAAAAAGGCGACGGGAGGAGAGCTTACCGCCAGGAAAACCCAGGACGCATTTCATTGTGGGAGCAGCTGGTGATTGGTCAGTGCAGGGTGTGTGGCAATGTTGACCAATGGGGGCAGTGCCCCATGGCGTGACGTTAGCAGCTCGGCGGGCGCCAGTAGCTGAGCGCAGCAAGGAGTTCAAAGCTCCGCCTGCTATGACCACAAGTGGAAGTGCACTCGTGAACTCTCCAGTTTGAGCGGCCAGGGAGCCTCAAGCAGTGGATTATTCAGCATTAGTTATTACTCTGACGTCGAGGAAAACTTGTCAACTCCAGGGGTGTGTAAGAAGGTATAGCTCACCTGGTGAAGTGGCCGCCGGGAGATAGAGATCGACAAGTTCTATGACCACGTGTGTGGACACTGGGAAGAGCAGTGACAAAGTTCCTGCAGGTCACTCACTGGTATAACTGAGAGGGACTGACAGGACGAGCGCCTTATCCCCGGTGAAGTGTCGAGACATGTGAATGATACCACTAGGAGGTGTCAACAAGTTCATTTGTGAGAGGGAGGAAGATGTGAACAGTTCCAGCCTGCTGTGCCAGAAGAAGGATCTGCAGTGCGAGGATCAGGCATGGTGATGAAGCGCAAAGCTACGAGTCAAATCGCCAAGAGACCCTATGAGCCGAACCCTTGTCAACGAGGAGCTGACCTGGGAGCAAACGACCCCAGCTGTGCTATCACAAGGATGATTCTACGACTATTGTAGCAGGGAGAGTTAAGGTAGATAATCTTTCTCTCCACATTTTCTTTCAGTTAGGTGAAGTTATTTCATCATTATAATTATTATTGATTTATGTTTAAGAGATCGCTAGTATTAACATATATGTACACATATATGTGTGTTTATTTCATGTACGAACTATTAGTGATTGCAGTGGAAGGACAATATCCACTCTATTTTGGTGAATAGTGAACCAAATTCATTAATGTGCCAGCGAGAGGAGATAACTAGTTGTTGTTGTTGTTGAGTTAGGGGCGACGACGATCGTGGGATCGGATACGCCCTGGCGTACCCGTGAAGGGTGAAACGCAAAGCCAGGAAAGGCGAAACGCCAAGCCGAAATGCGAAACGAGTGACGCCAAGCACTAGAAACTAATACGCCACACGACAAAGCAACGCACAAAGGGAGAATCAGAAGCACATATAGAACAGGGCAAACAAACAGCCAGAAGGGCACACAGCATGTCAGAGCAAATGCACATAAATCAGAGCACATACCTGCCCGGGAACGTGGCCCGCAGGAACCGTACATTATACGCCTCCTAGAACACCCATTGCAAAGCCTCCCGTCCATCCACCGGGGATGCCATAACATCCGGAACCGGGGCAACAAACACCTGCAAACTGGGGACCCAGATGGTAGTACTCATGAGGCGAGAAGCCACTACTCGCCCCCACAGAAAGGGAACTTGCCCACCATGAAAGCACCCCGGTCCGTCAGACAGCAGTAATTCAGCAATCTTCGACCAGTGACCCGGCGGCATCACAAACGCCGGCAACACGTCACCCAGGGCCCCAACGCGCACCCGCACCACAGGGGTACCCGCGGCCCCGGGCACACCACCAGACGACAGCAGGGAACCCGGACGGCGCGCATCCTTCCGTAACGTCACCACCAGGCCACGTCCAGCTCCAGAGTCCACACCATCCCTGGCAGCGGAAGCCACCACCCCCCACTG